AAGTGATCGTCCAGTTTGTAAGCTCTTGCAGCCTTGCTTTCAAACATGCTAAGCAGGCAGAGGTCCACAGACTTGAATGGGAACTCGTAATGCTCAGCACTTACTGCAATCAAGTGTTTATTATTCCATGTCAGAGAAATAGAGACAAAAATTTATATACGTAAGAAGACATGTAAGATACAAGGCTTTCTAGCTCTCTTGTGAGTACGTATAAATATACGCAATTGGTATGAGGTCTTTTGGTTATTTTGTGCATTACTGTGCGTGGAGAGTGTGCAGGCTTGTGGCAGTGACCTGGGCTTTTAGGTGAGGAGCACAGGGCACTATTTCTGGCTCTACCCTAGCTACTTGTGTGGCCAAGTGTATTAAATCCTGTTCCTGAAGACAGCAAACTGTTCATTTGGGCTTCATTCTCAGACTTGCTGAATACCCCAAAAGGCTGCTATTATTAGCAGGAGCTGCCATTCCTTAGCCCTGAAAGTGGGCTGTCCGTAAATCACCAACATGTGCTTTCCATGGGGAGGCAGAACTAGAACCTCAGCTTTCTCCCTGCCAGCCTGCAGAGCTGGCAGAGCTCCCACTCTACCAGCCCTTCCGCTGAGGGTGCATCCTCCTGGTGATGAGGCTGGTGATGGCTGTGCCATCCACCATACCTTGGGCTCCGCACAAGCATTGAATAGCTTCCCGTTGCTTCTGTTGCTGCTGTGGTGGGGCAGGCCCCCTCGTGCTCATCATGGAAACAACCTCCTCTTGACCTCTTTCTGCCTTTGTTCCTCCCCTTGTTGGGGTGGTGGAAGAAGCTATTAGGAAAACTATATCTTGTTCTTTGTGGGTGACTTGCAATTACATAAAGTTTAGGGCATCTTTTTCAAGGCCAGTAAGAGGTTGCTTTCATCCATGTATTTCCCTGCGTGTGCTGCTGGTACCAGGGTTAGCGCTCTAGAGCAGAGAGTTGTCCCCAGGGGACTGTGCTCTTCCACCATGCCTGAGTGCAGGTTGGGACAGCCATCCTGCACCCAGGCCAGCACAGCCACACACTGCCCCCAGGCACCAGCTGGGGCCAGGTCATGGTTAAGTTCTCAGTCTGTGCCATTGTTTCTTTTTTTAAATAATAAATGTATCTCTGTGGCAACAAAAATATCAATTCTGTTGTATAAATGAAGCTCTCAAATATGTTGTCGTTACAGACTATTCCGATGACAGTGCCTGTGCTGATATTAGGCTGCTGTGATCCGATCTGCCTGTGTCCTTGCTCTGGATGCGCTTTGCTGTAATAGTACTTTCATTCCGTAGCTCCCATTAGTGCCTTGATGAATAGCAGAAGATGTGTTTCAACAATTTTATGATTAAAAAGCAGCATCTTACCGTTACTTGGTCTCTGGTGCCTTTGCCTTGTTCATTATGCTTTGCCTGGGAGTAACAACAGTGATTCAGAGTTGCAACATCAACATTAGTGTCTGAACCTTGTGTTTTCTTTAACTGTAAATTCTGGGGAAGGAGGAGAAAGGAGGATGAAGGAGGAAGTCTAAGTAGTAGGGTTTATTCTTCTGACATTTCCAGGCGAGCTGTTTGAAACCGTGATGCCTCACAGCGATCACACATGTTTATTCCTAACTCTTCCGTTGGGCTTCTGAACAGGGGCCTCTTGGGTGGCTGCTCTGGAGCACACCTGGCCAGGGTTCGGAGACACCGGCTGGGCCCAGGGCACGTATTTGCAGTCTGGGTCTGCTGCTGTCACCACCACCCATGCTAATGGCCTTAGTACAGAGGTCAAAGACTGCTTAGATATGAAGGCTGAATCACCTCCTTTTTAAACCCCTCAGCAGGATCAAGGCTTAGGGAAGCAGGCACGTGGGCTTGCCTTCTGGCTGACTGTGGATGTAAAGTGTGACTCTGGAACAGGCCTTTCAGCAGTTTCGACCAACCATTGAGGCACTGACTTGGGGGTGTCTGGTGATTAAAACACTCCTGCACCGACACCCCTACGTGAAAAAGCCTGATGCATTCATTTTCTTTAAAGATTTGCTGATCCCACAAGCTCTTGATAGTTAGTGGAGGTTTATCCTGTGACCTGAGGATCACAAAAATCAGTGGTGAGCCCATCAGTCTAACCAGGCAGATATGAAAGATCTTGAACTGTGCTTATTTCACTTGCAAATATAAATAAGCCAACAGCATAGTCCTTGCTTCAGACCTGTTTGCCTTGGCAGTGTTCCATTTATGTGAATCAGAAGATGGTAGCAAAAAAGTACTAGAGGCTTATCCAGAGGTTGGTCTCCCCACTGTCAGGAAACTTGCACATGCAGGCCGGGTGATCGGGAGATTATTGACACAGCCCACAAGCACGGCTTCACTAGGTCCCTGCATTTTGAACAAACATGCCTGCAAAGGGTTCTTGATTCTGTGAGTTGTGGTGGTGCTGTCTTTGGAAACCCTGCATCTTGGTGCCTAGGCAGGAGAGAGCTGGAAGAAGCAGCTGCAGCTATGTCCTTTGCTCTTGTGACTTTGGCTTCTTGAAAGGAAGGGGGCTCCTGTGTTTCAAGCTGAGAAACAGGAAGTCAGTTCTTAAGCCTGCTGCGTCTCTGCAACTTTTGGTGGGTCTCTGGATCACGCTGTGGCTTAGTTTCTAAGCTGTAAAATAGAGGTAGAGATTAAGAATTTAAAAAAACAAACAAGACCTTGCAGAAATATGCAGTTGTAACTTGTAGCAGAAATTTATTATGATATTAGCGATTGGGAACTTAGAAAATACAAATTTTAATTTTTTTTTTTTTTTTTTTTTTATTTCAGCAAATTCAGTGAAGCTAGAAATGCAAAGTGATGAGGAATGTGACAGGAAGGCCCTGAGTCAGGAAGATGAGATCAGGGCTCATGATGAAGGAAGCAGCCTGGAAGAGCCCTTCACTGAGAGTAACGAGATGGCGGATAACAGAAAGATCCAGGAGCTATCGAGCGAGGGAGGAATCCGGCTTCCGAATGGTAAACTGAAATGTGACGTCTGTGGCATGGTTTGCATTGGGCCCAATGTGCTAATGGTACATAAAAGGAGCCACACTGGTAAGCAGCTGAAAGAAAATCTGATGAGTGCCTGTGGCATCTGATGTTGATTACCTGACAACTCTTCTCTCTTCCTTTTTTATTCATGGGGTAGCAGGAAGCTGGGGAGGGGAAAGACGGGCTTCATTGGTTTGGTTCTCTTCATTCTGGTGATGCTGTTTCTGGCAAGCCTGGTGCTTCCTTAACATTGATTTCTAGCCTTTCATTCTTAAGAACAGCACAAAAGTCTGGAAATTGCCTTTTTACTGTTCTTGACCAGGGGCAGGATGGTAAGGGTCATTCTCTGGCATGGGGAGGGGGGGTGTGTGTGTGTGTTCGTGTGTGTGTGTGTGCAAGGCTTTTGAGCCTTTAAGGTGAGTCTTAGATGGTCTTCCCATGGAGGTGCTCACGTGTGGACAATGCCAGCGGCTTCCTGGGGATCTCACATCTCCTTTGAAGGTGTCTGGACATGATGCCGGTGGCCCAGCAAATCTGAAATTAGCCAACTCCACAGGGGATGTTCATTACCAAGCAATCCTGATGCAAGGGTGGGCTTGACGCTCATTGTGCGACAACTCCATCAGGGAAACCTCACCTAAACAGCTCTTATGGCTCCCCCTCACCATCCAGATACCATTTCTGTGGCACCTTTCAATGCTTGCACTCTCCTATCATTTATTTATGTTACTATTAGTATTACTACTGTTTGGAGACCAAAACAGTTTACTAGGCTTATGGATTTGAGAATTCAAGAGGCAGAAAAAACCTTTGTGATATGCTGATCGAGCAGGTCTTTGGGGCCTGAAAGATGAGGCCTCAAGTTCAAAACAGGAAATTTCAGGGGAGTTTTGGCTAATATGATAAACTGGGGTGCCCAAGAGGCTGGTACTCGCTTGCCTCTGCCGCTTCTCAAGCGGGAGTGACAGTTACCTCCAACAGGATAAAAGTACCAATGGTGCCAGAAGACAGTGCTCTTCGGTCTTGCAGAGGTCTACCTGGCAGAGCCTTTGATTCAAAAAACCACTTTAGCTTGTGCTTAATTTTTATGAGATTTAAACACATGTAAGTGATCTCAGATGCTACAATATGTGCTTAACTTAAGATACGCTCTTAAATCTTAAGGTTAAGCACAGGTTTCTCTGTTGGAGCCTTAGTGGGTGTTTGTTCTTTGTATTTTTTTGGACAAAATGATATTTTGTTTTTTATCTTTCTCTGCTGTTTATTTTTTTAATGGGGCCGGAGACTGACACTGGCTGAGGTATCTGCCAAGATACATTAAAAAAAGTTGGGTTTTAAGGTAGAGTAAGAAAGACTTTGTGTAATCCCTTTGTAAACCTGGTAGTTTGCAGTCAAGTAGTGTGCTCTTGATGGGAAAGAAATCAATAGAACCTCTGTACAGAGGAATAATATATTACATAGTTAATGCCCTGTATACAAGTTGTATGATAATAACATAAATGTATAATGCAAAGCATTGAAGTATGCAGTCATGATTTTAGACAGCAATTGCAACAGGGGAAAAGCATTAGGTGGAGAACCAAAATCTTAACTATTTGACATGCTATTACTAGGAAAGGGAAAAAGAATAGAGAATGTAACAGACTGAGTCCCCAGCTTTCAGTGTCCCTGAAAGTTTGCACATGTCTGAGCATATGTATTGTAGGTGCATCAGAGTCCGCGTATTTGAACTTGAGCAGCTAAATTAGACCTGCTAAATTTAGATTTAGGTACTTAATTAAATGGTCTGCATCTTTTGAGATACTGAATAGCTAGTGCATCTTTTAAATACAGACAAGCTGCCTTTTTCATGTTAAAGACGACATGCAAATTCAAAGAGAACAGAACAAAATCTCATCTGCGTGCAGGCAAGACAGCTGTATGCGAGTGCATGGGTAGGAATTGCATAACTGGTAGCTTTTTCCTTCAGGCTACTGCTGGTTCCTCATAGAACTCTGACTCTTTTCCCATCTGAGCAGAGGAGCTGTGATGTATTGTTCTATACAGATGATTTCAAGCATATAGAAATGGCATTCCTTTTAACGTTCAGCTCAGTGCTCTACTCTCAGTAAACAAGTTGGCAAATTTTACATGGCATTCCTCCCCCTCCACCCCCCACCCCCCCCGGCCGTTGTTTGGTTTTTAATACATGCTGCTACTTCACTGTCCACAATAGAAGGAGAAGTTTGCTTGGATTTCCACATCCTTGATTTTAAGGAGTATTTTTAACATGCTGGTATCTATCTTATAAAGTGCAGTATTTTTAAAAAATATTGCCACTTCCTTGGCAGCTGGGTGCAGTGGGCTGGCCCCAGCTCTGGAATGAGCCCTGACCTGTGGTTAGTCTGGTTTTGCAGCCCAAGGGAGAATGGTAGAGGGAAGGGAGGTTGTCCCTAGTAAGTGGAAGTGGGTGATATTCTTTATCAACTAATGCAACTGGCATGTAATGGCTCTCAAAGCCAATTTAAGTATGTTTTGGGAGCTGAATCCCACCTTACTTTCCTCTTTATCTGTACACAACTGAAGTGTGGTCTGGCCAGTTGTTTGCATTGGCAAAAGCTGAAGTCCTTTTTCCTTCCCAAAAAACCTGTCAGCATTCTATGTAAATCACACAAAATGCTGTGGTCCATAGTAGAGGCTGTAATTTGCATGTATGTTGGGACAAGAGTGTGGCTTTCCTTACACTGGGGACCCAGGCTTTGCGAGAAGCTGTGCCATATGGCTTTGGCTGCGTTACGCACATAAAGGGACACAGTTTCCTCCAGCCATTATTCATCTGTTCCTGAGGAGCAGTTAGTCTTCCCTGCCGTATTATGGTAGTTCGGTCAAACAGATATAGGAACAGGGAAAATAATCTATGCCCTAGATGAGCTCGGTGTCCCATCTCTTACATGCTGGAACATCTGTTTCCTCTGATGCCTGCAGCCACCCCTTCCCATGATAGACCAAGCTGGGGATTTCCCATTCATCCTTTGGATCTGCACGAGTGCTCCTTCGTGCAAGCGGTGCTTTGGCCCACGGCACCTCCATCATGGAGCCCGTGGCACTGCTCATCTCATACTGCCAAACCTGTTTCTCTAAAACACTGATAATTCAGGTGAAGTGTTTTTGTAATCTGCATGGGCATCAGGAGAAGGCCTTTTTATTTGTTTGTCATTGCTGACAGAAAATAAATAAAACACTCAATGTGGGAGTTAAGCATGATGCACTCTGTGCTTTGGTGAGTGAGGTGACCCTCCCACCCCCTCCCTCATGTGCTACATCCTTGTGTCAGAAAAATAGCATGTGTCAGGTTTGATTTATTTTCCTCCTTTCCCATACTATCTTCTTTTGGTCCAAATTTCGTATTCCATAGCATACGCCCTGAGTTGCAGCATCTTTATCAGAGTTTGTTGTTACTGCAGGAGATGGCTTGTCACATAATATTGCCACTGGATACTCTGGGGGCTTTTGTTTAGGAATGTTGAGGAAAGGGGAGAGGAAGAAGATAAAGTCAATAATACAGTTTGTCTGAGTTGATGAAAAGGAACTCCAGTGATTTCTCACCTCTTTAGGCTCCTGTTAGTGAGCCTCAATTAAAATTTCCTTGCTCATTATTTCTGGGAAAGCAGTAACCATTTGCCGGTATAGCTGTGCTGCTGCTTCTGTGATCTGAAAGGTCCGCATGTTGTTCTCCCTTGCGCTGTGAATTTGATTTTTCTCCACCGTAACATCCAGTCTATTATCTAGTCCACTGCTGGATTTTGAAACACTTTTTATTTCTAAGGGAGGGTTGGGATCATCCTCGTTGTTTTAAGAACAGCCAGAGGTTAAATGCTTTCTCTGTATGGAGGCAGTGGGACAGTGGCAGAGCAAAGCTGGGTCTCTGGGTACAGGACAGAATGCAGCAGGGATAGTAGTCTTGCCCTACTCCCTCTTTGGGCTTCTAATAGGTTGTTTTTAGGCTTTTTTTGGGATGCTAACTACAGGAGCATCTCGGATCTCTGCTTGCACTCCACAAGCATTTTAGTACCATGAAGTCAGTGAAATAAGATATGATATGTGGAACTTGAGGAAAATCCTCAAGTTCTGCTTTAACATCCACAGCATTATAAGTGAACCTATGCAACACTGGAACTCTGAATGCCATTTAATATTTTTTTTTCAATGCAGAGTTCAAGTTTTTGTGACAGAGTTAATAAAGGGGGAAAATCCCAATCGTGCTGTTCAGTATAAAAAGACTTTTCTCCCTAAAGCAGCTAACCAGGAACAAATTTAAACAAATGATCATATCAACACATTACAATTAACTCTGTTGTACTGCCTGTCTTATTCTTCTAGTAGAAAGGTTTTATTTCATGTAATTTGTAACCTAGTGCAGACTCCTACCTCTTGCAATATGAATCGTTTTGGCACTGAATCAAAAATTGCGGGGCCAAATTTCTAGAAGTGATGTTTTTTACTTAGGTTTCTAAATATAACTTTTCCAAAAGTCTCATTTTCTACTTAAGCATATGAAGAAGAGCTTAGATTTTCAAAATTGCTTTTTGCATAAGGATGTGTTTTGCTCACAGTACTCAGTAGCTAAACTCTTCTGATATTTTTTGGCAGTTCACTTAAAGGAATTTTCTCTTTTAAGAATATGTTCATAAATTTTTGTACAGAGGACACTTGGAAATCACTCAGGATTTCCCAGGAATTTTTCCTGAGAGATTTGTCACTACTGTTTTGTAATAAATTGCCCTATCTGGAAGTAGGTTTTTCCCAACAAACAACCGCAGTAAAATCACTGATTTCGAGTGTTGTGCAGCCTGTTAAGTGAATCTGATAGAACCGTAAGTACGTATGCAGACTAGATGGTCCTGAGAATAACAAATACTGAAATGGAGCAAAGCCTGATGCTCTGTATCTCGCTTGGGTAAAGGCAGGTTGCAACTCTGCCTGTCAGTGTGTTGGTAGTGCAGGTGATATTTTTTTTGTGCTCCTGGGACAGAGCAGAATCAGAGTAGTTGCAGCATCTGATGAATCAGGAGAAATGTTTCATTTTAACTGAATATTAACAAAAAGCCTGCTATGGAAGGGTGAAAATAAAAATTATTAGTATGAGCAAATACTTTCTGATGGCAGCATGGGCACTGTAATTTTGCATTAAGAGGTTAAAAAAAAAAAATCCTGTTTGAGAAGTACCTAAGCTATCCTTTGCTTACACACCAAAAGTATGTGCCAAACTAGAAAGGCTGAGATCTTAGATACACATTTAGCCAGGACAGATGTTAAATGTAGTTCCACTGGACCTGGTTCTTACATGTAGAAAGGACTGCTGGCTTTCCTTGTTATTGTGAAGAGACTTTAAAACCAGTGATTTTTAAAAAAAGGTAATTAAAACATTCACGGGAAGGGACTTAAGCACTACTGTAGAAATAACCAGGCCTCGGTGTTAATGAGAAATAGTGCATTATTTTGTGAGTCGCTCTATTTGATTTCAAAGGGTCAAAAGTTACCACTCAAGGGTTATGAAAAATCTAAGTCTGCTTGGTTGCAAGGTCTGCAGGCTCTTTGTCCTCAGCCGAATTTCTGTTTTGATACAGAAAATATCACTGGTGTATTTTGCACCGGTATGAGATTCAAAGAAGGATAACTCATACCGAAACTTCTGCGCAGCACTTCTGTGCTGCGGCGGTAAAGGAGAGTTATTGTGCAGGGAAGCTTCCAATTAAGCAGAAAAAGGAGTTGGTTTGATTTTGAAATAACATTTGACATATACACAGTAAAATATGAAAGCTATTAGTAGGAAGTTAATCAGTTCATTCGCCTGGTTTCAGGTTGTATCAGCTAGACAGTGTTCATAGCTTGTGCTAAGAAGTCTCCAGCCAGCTGCCATATATTAAAGATACTTATGAAAGGTCCATGTCTTGCTAAAAAACCTGACTCCGTTGGTCTACTTCACCTTTCATCTCAGTATTCGTTTACACAACAGCAAGTTAACTTGTGTATTTTAGATACTGGTATAGCTAAAGAGCAGTAATATTTCATTATTATTTTTCCTGGAGGAGACATAGCTGTGATGTATGCATGTTAAACATTGAACTGTGAAGTTTCAGCAGTGTTTTACTGTAATTTAGTGGTAAATATTTGAAATCATACCTTTTAATTAATACTTTATTTAACTGTAAAATGATAAAACCCCATGGATTTATTTATTAATTTAATTATGAGGACTGTTCCCTAGCACAAACACCTCTTACTAAGCCTTCTGGAAAGGGAATACTTTGGAGCTCTGGCTTGTCTTGTCTATTCCTGAAGTAACTTTAGATAATTAAATTCCCTGTGCTGGAGAACAAGGCTTTTTAGATATTCTTGGTTTTGTCTGGCTTTAGATCTTAAATCTGGAGTTGAAAAGAAATATCTTTTTTGTTTGGTGAACTGTTTTGTGTTTTGTCGGTTTGGGGTTTTTTTTGTGTGTGTTTTTGTTTTTTTAATCACTAAGGTGTGAGGTTTTTCTACCCTGGTTTAGCTCTAAAATAGAGAAAATGTTTAATACTTAAAGTAGACTAAAAATATTTTGCAGTTACATTGCAGTCACATAGTTTCTGGTGCTGAAAAGCAAAAAGCTTGCTTAGTCACCTTTCATACATATTCTTCTTACAAGGAGCTCTTATTTTAATAAATCAGTGTAAGTATATAAAGTCAAACAGTAAATACATAACTATAAATGGTGAAAAATGCACCATGCTTATAATTGTCATTACCCTCTCATAGTTTTGTGTGCTACCTGTTTAGTAGGTCTATAATTTCTCGTGTGCCTGTGCTGCCATCACCCCCAAAGACAGGAAAACATTTTAAACACAGTCAGGGACTGTCACGTGGAGAATAAATTTAGTTAAAGACTTTTTGTGAGTGGATGTTTAGTTTGAAGTGTGATTAAATTCAGCCTATGGATAAAAACTTTTTTTGTTTTGACAGAAGAGTAAGGGAAGTGAATAAGGATGTCACGGTTGTTATTTTGCTATTAGGAAATATTAATACTGGAGAACTGCTTACCAACCTACTAGGAAAAGGCAGCAGGAGAAATAATTGGAAAACAGTCTTCTCAAGGCACTGAAGTGATAAAGAAGGCTGGTTTGCTAGTATATGGAGTGGGCATCAGACAGCACGATTCTTGGGGAAAAGAGAAAAATTTTCTTATTATTCAGTCTTTACTTTTTTTGCAAACCCTTCTATTGGATAATGGTCTCAGATTAGCTGTGCTAAATGTAAAAGCTGCTAATCAATAGCACAAATGTGTGACTAAAATTAACAGTCATCTCACAAGCCTGCAGCTTAAACAAGAAGCAAGAATCAAATGATTGGAGAAAAATATAACAAACAGATCAAAGCAGCTATTTACCCGAAATTAAGCCAGTAGGAAAAATTAATTCATGCTGGCTTTAAATAGATACAAAGGTTATTTAAGGTAAAATGTGCTATTGTAGCAGATTCTGTCTGTTGCAAGAGAGGAGTAGACTATCAGTGACTTTGTGGTGTTTTCGTGTCATCTTTGCCACCAGACTGTGGTGCAGTGACTATTTGAATTCCTGATTGAAGACTTGCAGAATCTCTTCAGCTGCCAGTTTATTGAGGAATAATACTGGCTCATATGTGGCCTCCAAAATATCAAAAGTAAGTGAGCGATGTAGCAGGTAAAACACATTAACTGCATAGTTTTAAATACAGCAGGAGTAAAAGGAAAGACTTTAGACTTGATAAGAAACTCACTACTTTCTTTAATGTTGTCATCCTGAAACTGAAGCTATTATTCCTGAATACTGAGAAACACTGTCAAAGGAAGGGGTTTTGCCTGTTTTCTCAGACAGCAAAAGCAAAACAGAAAAGATGAAAAACCCATATATTTTTCTACTGCAATCTCTTTACATACCTCTGTTATGGACATGTTGAAATGATGTAAAAGAAGATAATGGTTAAACAGATCCTTTAAGTATAGTGTGGGAGTTTGAAAGGGAAACCACAAACTCTTTATCAATTCCAATGAGCTCATGTTCAGTGTATTTGAAGAAGAGCTTTATGCCCTGATTTTTTTTTTTAATCATTACTCCATAATGTTCTTGGCAAGATTATAGAAACCTTAGTGTCTTCTTCAGTGCATCTGCAGTGGTTTTGGATGTAATTTCCAGCTCACGCATGTGAAGTGAAGTTGCAGAGGTATGGCATATCTATGGCACGACTGCCTTCTGCTGCCCTCCTGGCAGGATCATAATGCTGGCAGTGATTTAAACCGCTGAAGCAAGAATTGCTTGTGAACATCTGTAAGAGCTCTCTTCCTCCCTCTCTTTCTATTTGAATCTACAGACATATTTTGGACTTTACACTAGGCACGTGAACTACTTTGATAAAAACATAGCATTAATTCTGTCCAGCAAGGCAGTAATAATTTTAAAGCAATTAAAAAGGCTTTGGAGACATGTGTCAGATCACAGAACGTGGGTTTTTTTCAATGAGATCTGTGCTTCAGGCTGGTGAATTAAACCTCAGGAAGTCCCACCAGGATTTGACTAAGGCTCCATCATAGGTGATACACTGAAAAAATGAATGAGGCTGCTTATGTCTGAAATCTGATTTTCAAGACCTTGTTGAGCAGGGGCCCTACTTGGTGAAAATGTTTCTGCATCTAAAGCCCAGCTGCAGTAAAGTGCGTAGGCAAGTGGCTAGCACAGGTATATGTTTGTGCCCCATTGATTTGCACACTAGGATGTAGCACATGATTAGAGCTGACTGCCTGCCCAAGAATGCTGGAACAGACTGAGTGTCCTCAACAGATGTTGACATAGGGTATGGTGTTGATAATATTTCACAGAAACTGTGTAAGTTTGTAAAGGTTTTTCCTCTAAATAATAATTTTTTGAAAAAAGGTGTTTGTTTTTAGGGACCAAATCCCCACTGTCCAGGGCAAATACAAAAGATTAACATCAAAATAAGTTTTGGATGTGTGTGTGAACGCATGGGGTGAAGGGAGAGAGTAAGGTGTAGGGTTTCTGTTAATTATTTCTTTTTCATCAAACAAGTCTTTTCAATTAGTTTTACTTACAGCACAAATTGCTTATTTCACAGTTTAATGGTGTAGGATTTTTCTCAGTGTTTGCTTCTGCCCAAAGCTTGTAGGCCTCACTTGCATTGATTTTCTCAATATGACTCTAGCAATGCAAAGCAGCCTTTAAAAAAGGGATTTCAATTAAAGTATAACGTAAGCAAAAGATTTGATTTGAAGCAAAGACATTAACATCTGTCCGATTGTTATGATCAGTTCTAAATACTCATATGGATTTGGCCTATAGTAAAAATAAAAAAACATAGAGATAAATACTACAAAACCACAGCTGTGGATCTAAATTTTTAGCAGAGCTCATCTTTTATGAAGGATAAAACCTCTGAAGTGGAGAACTTTTAAGAAAATCAGGCTGCATTAATCACCTCAAGGAAAGTGCCTCAAACCACTATTGGAGGCTTTGCCCATTGTGCAACAGAAACAGCCTCTGACTTCAGCAAGTGTCATGTGATGGTGGTGGTGGTGACCATAACTATGCAAAATGGCAGTGTTACAAAGAGCAGGATAAGAGGCTCCATGCATCTTCCAGTGTTTCTTGACGGCGCTCTCCTTTCCATTTCCCTTCCAGGTGAACGCCCCTTCCACTGTAACCAATGTGGAGCTTCTTTTACCCAAAAGGGGAACCTGCTGAGGCACATCAAGTTGCACTCTGGGGAGAAACCGTTCAAATGTCCCTTCTGCAGCTACGCCTGCCGACGGAGGGACGCCCTCACAGGACACCTCAGGACGCACTCTGGTGAGCTCACCTTGTCTTCTCTTCCCTCATGTTTTTTCCTTTCTTATTACCATTCAAGTGAAGCAGGCTGTGAAAATAACTCTGTGTTCCTGGTGGCTCTGGGTCTGTACTGTCCACTTCAGACAGTGCAGCTCTGAACTTTAGGAAAGCCTTGATGTGAATCAGAAAAAGTTCTTTCAGCCACACCTCTTCTTTTGTATAACTGAGCTCCTCTGCCGATGCTATCGCGTTTCCCTTTGAATGTGTCCTTGGGTGTATCCAGGCTTCACTGGCAGATTGTTTTGATGCTCTCAGCCCCAAAGTGGCTGTGAAATTCCAAAGATGGCAAAGAGTAACTGTGTGCTCTTGGAAGCCTGCTTTGCAGTTCATGCCCCTTTCTTCATCTAATAAATGCTATATGCTGGTGGAGTTCATACTTGTTCATCTTTCAAAACCCTCTTAATTGACTTTTTGATTCAGTTACATCTTGCTGTAAAGTCCTAATTGATGGCAGCCACAGCACTCACCCTAGAGCAGAAGGTGGTGGAGAGAGACTGGGTTTGTCTTACCTTGCTACTTGACAGTATCACGTCTACATCAAGTCTACTCGATATAGTTTCTTGATATAGTCTAAAGAAACACTTGTCGCTCAACTGCATGTTAGTAGTCATGTTGGTAGCCCTGATGATCAGGATCAGAAGTGTTTCTAGTCTCAACACTACACCAAGGGGCCGCATTCTGCCCACTTACTCAGGAGTCCTACACAAATGAGTAAGATCTTAACTTGCTGTGTTTTTTATCTCCTAGGATGTTCAACTTTTGTGTCCAGGCCATTTATAGGAGACTGTGTTTTTCATTGTTGAATGAACAGAGATAATTGGACTGGTTACGAGTGACAGCATTACAGGTGAACTTCTCTGAGGTCTTAGCAAATGTGTGACTACTGAAACACAGTGGTTGAAGTGCAGCCATAGACAGAAACTCTGCATGTCAAAATGTAATCATGGAGTTTCCTGACTCTCTATACGCATTTCTTCTACAGGGCCAGCCTCACTTCAGTAGAGGTTTCTGTTTTGTGAGCATTAGGTTGGTCTTAGGATACAGAGTTCCCTTGGCATTTCCAAGAATCAGAAAGGATAAGCTAGTAAGCTTCTCCAGATAGACTTTGGAGTACACAGGAGGCTGTATTAATGCAAACGTGCTGCTAACAGAAAGCAGGAGATTCCCAGGGAGTGCAAGTGTGGGACTAGGCTGAGAGAGAATTGTTTGAGAGTTGTCATCCGGGAGGATTTGATCTGAAAGTCAGAAAGGAAAATGTCTGTGGAACTGTGAGGTGCAATTTTCACACATCTGACCTTAACTGTAGTTTCAACTTGAAATTTAGTAAAAAAGAAAACACAATAAAAATATTCACAATTAAAATAGAAAAGGGAGTTGTGACATAAAATAGCCCACATTACAAAACACAAGCATTGCGGTTGAAGATTGTTTTCATAATATGAGCATAGATTTTGTTACCTAGATACAGCCACTGATAGGGATTGTTTGTTCTTCCTGTGTGAAAAGTACATGGCTTTTTGCATGAGGATGAAATGTAAAGGTGTGGGATTTTCAGAAGGCACCTAAG